GAAGAGCCCAGGCATAGACGGATTCACTGAAGAATTCTACAAGAAATATAAAGAAGACCTAATGCCAACACTCTGCAAACTCTTCAATGAAATGGAAAGGGAAGCAATCCTTCATAAATTGTTCCTAGAAGCAAATATTACTCTAGTATCAAAACCAGAGGAGGACCCAACTGAAAAAGAGAACTAAAGACCAGCCTCCCTAATGAAGAAGGATGCAAAAATCCTCAATAAAATTTTGGCAAATAGGATGCAGCAAATCAACAAGAAGATCATATATCATAATGAAGGGAGATTCATGCCAGGCATGCAGAGATTGTTTAATATATGTAAATCAATAAATGTAATACACCATATCAATAGAGAGAAAAGTTATAATCACATGATCATTACTATAGATGCAGAAAAAACTTTTGATAAGGTCCAACATTCATTTATGATAAGAACCTTGCAGGAAATTGGAATAGATGGTCCTTACCGCAATATAATTAAGTCCGGCAATGACAAAACAATAGCCAGTGCCATACTAAATGGTCAAAAACTGAAGGCCTTTACTTTAAAATCAGGCACAAGACAAGGATGTCCCTTATCACAGCTCCTATTTAATATACTACTGGAAATACTGGGCAGAGCAATTAGACAAGAGAGATAAATAAAAGGCTTAAAGATATGAAAAGAATAAGTTATCATTATTTGCAGATGACATGATACTTTATATAGAAGATCCCCAAAGCTCCATTGAAAGACTCCTAGATTTAATAAATTCAGTAATGTAGCTGGATAGAATCAATACTCAAAAATCAATAGCATTCCTATGCACTAACAACAAAGTCACAGAGACAGAAATAAGAGAGGCCACACCCTTCACACTAGCAACCAAAAAAATGAAATATTTAGGAATTACTCTCATGAAAGAAGTGAAAGATCTATACAGCGAAAATTATAACACACTGAAAAATGAAATTGAAGATGATCTCAGAAAATGGAAAGACATCTCTTGCTCATGGATAGGAAGAATAAATATTGTGAAAATGGCCATTCTCCCAAAACTTTTATACAGATGCAATGCAATCCCGATAAAAATACCATCAACATACCTCATAGAACTTGAGAAATCACTCCTAAAATTCATTTGGAATGAGAATAAACCTAGAATAGCAAGGACAGTTAGAAGCAGCAAAAGCAAGGCAGGAGGTACCACAATCCCTGACTTGAAGTTATATTACAAAGCAACTGTAGTACAATCAACATGGTACTGGAATTGAAACAGAGCCGAAGATCAGTTGAATAGATGAGAAGATACAACCACCATTACAAACACACTCAACTACCTTATCTTTGATAAATGGGCCAAACATGTTCACTCGAAAAATGACATTCTGTTTAATAAATGGTGGTGAAAAACTGGCTCTCCATATGCCTAAAACTAAAACTAGATCCATGCCTATCACCATGTACTAAAATAAAATCTAAATGGATCAAAGATCTAAATATTAAAACAGAAACACTGAATCTATTGGAAGACAAATTGGGTATAAACCTTGAAGACATAGGAGTAGGTAGACAATTGATGAACAGGACTCAAACTATATGGGAAATGCTTCCCAGAATCAATAATTGGGATCACCTCTTATAAAAAAGTTTCTGCACATCAAAAGAAATCTCCAGTATAGTGAAAAGAAAATCCACAAACTGGGAAAAAGTCTTAGTGAACTGCCCCTCAGGCAGAGAACTTCTGTCTATAACATATAAAGCATTTTAAAAAATGAGACCACTAAAATTCAAAGACCCAATCCAAAAATGAGCATCTGAGATGAATAAACAATTTTGAGATGAAGAAATACAAATGATAAATAAATACATGAAAAAATGTTCACCATCAATGGTCACTAGAGAAATGCAAATTAGAACCACACTGAGATTTCATCTCACTCCTGAAAGAATGGTCAAGATCAAGAAAACCACCAACAACAAATATTGGAGATGCTGTTGGGAAAAAGGAACGCTTCTGCACTGTTTGTGGGAGTGTAGACTGGTGCAATCATTGTGGAGATCAGTCTGGAGATTTCTCAGAAAGCTGGGACTGGAAGCACCTTTTGACCCAGCTATTCTACTTCTAGGCATATCCACAGAAGAACTGAAAGCATCATTCCACAGTGATATATGTGCACCCATTTTTATACCAGCACAGTTTGTAATAGCCAGATCTTGGAAACAACCTAAGTGTCCATCAACTGAGGAATGGATACAAAAGTTATGGTGTTTTTATACAATGGAGTATTACTCAGCTATAAAGAATGATCACATTGACATATAAATAAATAGATGCAGACTGAGACCATACTCATAAGTGAAATAAATCAAACTCACATGTATAAATACCGAATATATTCCCTAGTATAAGAAATGATAATACATACAAGTATGTGGTAATCATGATACCCAATCATATTGGTTTGAATCCATATAATGTTTTCACTCATTAAGTGCAATGGTTTTACCCTGGGTTTTTTGATTTTAGTATCGGTGATGGTACGAATAGCTATTCTGAAGAAAATAACACATCATAAAAGCAAGTGCTGGTTTAATATCATCTTCTTTGGAACTCCCATCAAGCTGTTGTACATGTTACCACTGGTTTTAACATGTTGTATCTTAATATATTTTACTGTATGTGATAGTATAAATAAAATTTTTCACAGGCAAAGAGATAATATAGAAATCGTTGTTCATTTTCTGTTAACTGGCTCTAAATACCCTGTAATTTTTTCATTCTCTTGAATGGCTTCACACTGTCTTGATATGATTGATTCTACAGTATACGAAGTTATATTCAATTCAAGGAAAGACGCACTATGGTGACTAATATTATGTTAGATTATGTGGTGGCGAAACAAAATGCTTTAATTGTGCAGTTCTGACCTGTGTTGTTCTATTACAATGTCCCTTTTATCTCAATCTCCACCGTTTAAAAATTAATCTATTTTTTCTTATTTTTTTCAATTAGAAAACTAAATTAAAAAATAGCGGGATATATTATAGTAACATTTTGTTTTCCTATTAACCTGATTTTAACCCCAGTATTGCTCTCCCCATCTTGTTCTGCCTGATTTTACTATATTCTATTTTGTTTGATAGTATGAAGTTTGAGGTTGTAGGCAACCACTTTGTAGGCAATAAGATTTACTATGATGCCCATGATGGTTTGACTATTATTTTCTTTTGAAATCCTGTAAGGTCTCCAGTTAGATTTTACTGGTCTTGTTCTGTACTGTTTTGATCAATTCTATTATACCTGATGATATAGCAACACTTTTTAAAAATAGCAAGAGGCACAATGATAACCATTTTTGATCACCTGATATTCTATTTTCGCATCAAGTACTATGCCCATCCTTATGTTCAAACAAACTCTGTTTTGTTAACTCACCTGAGCTTTAATAATCTTCAAAAAGTGTAATAAGAACTATAGGAGTAAAAAAAAGAACCCAAAAGTGTAATTGTTATTGTGAAGAAGAGAGGAAAGGAAGATGGTCTAAGAGATATAAGTGCCTGTGAGTGTGTAGGAAGGAAAACCATATTACTGAGCTTTGTTCGTTCATTGAGTGCAACTGTCTGGAATCTCGTGTAGGAACGTTCACTTTATATGCTTTAATTTTATAATTTGGACAACTGTTTCTAATTAGACAATATATAACCTATTAACTAGTGATTTCCTATATTTTTTTCTTGAAATTCTGTATGATTTGTATCCTTTTACTGCTTTGTTTTTATGTTCTTTTTTCTCTATAAATAAAAAAATTAAAACTGGAATTTATATCTTTTATTTATTTTTTGGTACTAGGGATCACACTGATTACCTAACACTTGCCAGGCAGGGGCTTAAGCCACTGAGCTAAATCCCCAGCCCCCCAATATATATATTTCACATTTATCATCTTCAGAGTAGTTGCCTCTACTCTTGGACTTGATACCAGCAAGCATACCAAATGTGAATAAAATCAGTCAAGGCCAAATAACATTCAAACAAACCAGCTTCCAGTAAGATCAGTCATAGTAAGACAATGTAAGTAATACAGTGTTTCAGTTTTAGTTAATAGGAAATTAAGGACAGTTACCATTATGGCATAACCTGCTATTTTTGGGTTACCTCTCTGTGCCCTCAAATCTAATATGAGTAGACAGACCGGAACAAAATATAATCAAACTAAACAGAGCAACAAGACTACTGTAGCTTTTAAATCCTGATACACTTTTAACAATGTCCTTTGCCTTCTTTTTTTACGCAATTCCTCACCTTTCTCCTTCTCAGGATACTATTATTCACTGTTCAAAGTGATATTAGTTTAGTCTCTTATGTTCAGTTTCAGCATACATAAAAATAAAGACATCTACTATGAAGAGAATGAGACACATTATGGTAATCATTATCATCTTCCCCAAAATCAGTCTTGAAGATCAAAAAAGCCTGCATCATCCTGTAATTATTTGATTAGTTCTATAATGTTCAATATATATTCAATGTTTTGAAGATGGGAACAACTATTTGGAAGAAAACTAGAGACAGTAAGATAGACAATGAACATCTCAGGGGACTTGCTTTGAAACCTGTGTTTCCTTAACTTGTTTCCTTATGAACTGTTTTGTTTTGTTTTGTCATGTTTAATCTTACCGTCTTTAAGATAAAAAACAAGTTTGTAGAACATATAAGCATGTTAACAAGTTTTTGTTGGATTACTGAGTTAAATTGTTTGCAGTCTCATTATTTGAATATCACTTTGTATGCTTTAATTTTGTAACTTGAACAATTACCTCTAAGATGACAATATGTAATCATCTAGTGATTTCTTATTGTTTATTTTTCAGAAATTCTGTATTATTTCTACACTTTTTGGTTTTTTTCTTTAAACAAAAATAATTCACCAAAAATGTGAAAATTAAGTTTTAAAGACAAAATGTAAAATACATAGACACTATCCATAATTGAAAGTGAAAAGCCCATTTCAGTTTACCATGTTTATTTACAAGATGCCATGTTGAAGCACAAAGACACATTAAAAAATCTAAAGAGGTATAAGTGATTAACTCAAAACCATACAAAATGGGTACTTGAGTAGAGCTCCACTTCAGATTTGTCATTTCTGGAAAATTTGTGAAGAAATATTGACATCAAACTTCTGTATTGATTATTTCTTCAGGTCTACTTGGAATTTTTAAAATAAACTTAGATCTAAACTGTGTGAAGAGTGCTGCTTTTTCTATGTATTTAACAACAAACATGGATTGCCATATGTTCCACACTGTTAATACACATAGGATCCAGTGAGCTCTTTCAGATATGTAACAATGATCATGTGTGCTGAGAGAATTCCCATAACAAATAGGATTTATCTCTTGTGTGAGTTTCTTCATGTATTTCACTTACAATTTGGATGCTGAAAGTGTCTCCACTTGCTTACGTAGCCAGTGGTTTATCCCAGTGTGAATTGTTTCATGTGTTTTGCAATGCCTGTATGTGGTAAAAGCTTTGCCACATTGTTATATGCATAGGGTTTCTCCACCAGTGTGGAGGCATTGATGTATTTTACAAAATCCATGTGTGGTGAAAGCTTTCCCACATTCTTCACATAAACAGGGTTTCTCAACAGTGTAAATTTTTTCATGTATTGGACAATGAGCATTTCTGCTGAAACCTTTCTCACATTCCTTACATATATAAGTTTTCTGCCCAGTGTGAAGTTTTTCATGCATTATGCAATATGTAATTGGGGTCAAAAAATTCTCATGATGCTTATATACACTGCTTTTATCTTGAATATGAACTTTCATGTTGCTTACAATGTCCATGTTGGGTAAAAGCTTTCCCACATTGCTTACGTATATAGGGTTTCTCTCCAGTGTGAATTCTTTCATGTTGCTTACAATGTCCAGGTCGGGTAAAAGCTTTCCCACAATGCTTACATACATATGGTTTCAATACAGTGTGAATTATTTCATGTGCCTTACAATGTGCACGTGTGTTAAAAGCTTTCCCACATTGCTTACATACATATGGTTTCTCTCCAGTGTGAATTCTTTCATGTTGCTTACAATGTCCAGGTTGGGTAAAAGCTTTCCCACATTGCTTACATACATAGGGTTTCTCTCCAGTGTGAATCCTTTCATGTTTCTTACAATCTGCCCGTGTATTAAAAGCTTTCCCACATTGGTTGCATACATACGGTTTCACTCCAGTGTGAATTCTTTCATGTTGCTTACAATGTACATGTTGGGTAAAGGTTTTCCCACATTGCTTACATACATAGGGTTTCTCTCCAGTGTGAATTCTTTCATGTATTTTACAACTTGCCCATGTGTTAAAAGCTTTCCCACATCGCTTACATACATAGGGTTTCTCTCCAGTGTGAGTTCTTTCATGTTGCTTACAATGTCCATGTTGGGTAAAAGCTTTCCCACATTGCATACATACATATGGTTTCTCACCAGTGTGAATTCTTTCATGTTTCTTAAAATAATTCCCTGTGTTAAAAGCCTTCCCACATTTCTTACATACATAGGGTTTCTCTCCAGTGTGAATTCTTTCATGTTTCTTACAACCTCCCTGTGTGTTAAAAGCTTTCCCACATTGCTTACATACATATGGTTTCACTCCAGTGTGAATTATTTCATGTGCCTTACAATTTCTATGTGTGGTAAAAGCTTTCCCACATTGCTTACATACATATGGTTTCTTGCCAGTGTGAATTCTTTCATGTTGCTTACAAGCTCCATGTTGGGTAAAACCTTTCCCACATTGCTTACATACGTAGGGTTTCTCTCCAGTGTGAATTCTTTCATGTATTTTACAGTTTGTCCGTGTGTTAAAAGCTTTCCCACATTGCTTACATACATAGGGTTTCTCTCCAGTGTGAATTATTTCATGTTGCTTATAATGTCCAGATTTGGTGAACCCTTTTCCACATTGCTGACATACATAGGATTTCTCTCCACTGCAATATTTTTCATGGATCTGAATAATGTGGTGTGTTTCTGCTTCTTTCACATTCACATTACCTTCTGCAGTACAAGGGAATACTTCTTTACACTGATTCCAAGATGTATGTCCATAGGATTTACCTAGCTTGTCATTTCTGTAAAAAAAAAAAAATCACATATCGGATTGATAACCATATTACTAAGTTTTTACTGGACATTTGAACAAAACTGTTTGCAGTCTCGCTGTTTGAATCCCCACTTCATATGTTTCACTTTTGTATTTCATTAACTATTTCTATGAGCAGCATATGTAATCATTGTCTTTAGATTTCTTACTATTTATTTAAACTTTAAAGTGGTATCATTTCTACTTATTTTGTTTTTTTTAGTCTTTTCTTACATTAAATTAAAAAAAGAGAAACATTCACAGTGAAATGGGTGTCAGTTTAATGACTGCATTAATGTCAATTTCTGTTTTTAATGCCTGCTAAGAAATTCTGACCGGGAAGTAACAGAATTGCCTTGTAAGACATGTTGAAAAAAACCATTCCCAAAAGACTGGTACACATTTGGAAATCTTAAAATTTGGTACCTTTTGAAATGCAGAATCTTTATCTCCACTTTGGGCATGGGTACACATGTGTATCACATACAGATCATTCTGATATGTTTCCCCATCACAATCTCCCTTCTGTCCTTAACCTGTAGTTCCCTTTTCCATATGGTCAGTCTTACTTTTCTCTATTAACTCTTTCATTTCATTCCACAATCTATATTTGGGTTTCTCATCTAAAAGGTACCCTGTGACCTTTTAGGTTTTATAGCTGAGCTATTTCACCGAATTGATGGGAGAAAGAACCACCTGTTTCTTATGGCAAATGACATTATAGTCATTTATTTTTTGACATTATATAACACATTTTTTTCTTTTCCATGCTGGGATTGAACAACAGCTATTAGCATAAAATCTATAGCTTTTTAAATATGTTTTAAGAGATTTTTGCTGCTCATTAAGCTGTGAAGTTTGAACTTGAATTTGCCTTTCTGCAAAATCTGATTCCTAGTGTGCTGGATTTACAAGAATGCACAATCACAGAGAGTCTATTAACATTTTTCTTCTCCACAAATCCAGTGATAGATAGCTAAGCTTCTTCAAGGCCTGATCTATTATAACATTATGTGCTTTGTAAATGAGTAAGCGTGTAACAGTATTTTATGTGCATCTTGAATTTTTAAAAATATGTCCAGGACAAGTGTGAGGGGATCAATTTCTAGAGACAACTGCACACTGATATTCAGAATGAGTGCACTTAACATTCCACCAGCCTTCTAAGAATTTTAGTCAGAATGGCTGATGCTTTAGAGCATGGCTTGCAAACACAAGAAATCTGTTTTATTTCAAATTCTATTGCAATCTTAGCAACTTTTAGATAATGACTGTGTTGTATTCACATGTAAATATGGGTAGAAAAACTGAAGGGAGAATGTCATAACTCCTTATATGTCTTTGGAGAATATTACTGACAATAAATTGAATGGTGCCTCATTTCTTTGGCGGTATTTTTCTGCTGACTCACTAATTACTCAGGAACATTCCTTCTCGTTATGAGTGCGAATTACCTTAAGTATCTCCAGTAAATTTTGCATTCTTTTCCAGGTTCCTCGATATCCCCAAGTCCTCCTGAATTGTAGACATAAAAATACCAGTGCTCATTAGAATATACATACAAATTAATAGATTTTGTTTAGAGTTATGATATAATGTGTCCAGGTCTGAGGTATTTTTAAAAGTATTTTCACATTGTGTTTAATGAAATAGCACTGATCAGCGACATACAACATTCTGACAGCATGAGTGACAAAAGTGTTTTGTCCTTACCTATTGCAGCCAAGTTCCTAAAGGTTTCACCCATCATATCTCTGTAGAGGTTCTTTTGGGATGGACTCAGCAAAGTCCACTCCTCATTGCTGAAGTTCACGACCACATCCTCAAAGGTCACCACTTCCTAAAGGATCACACATATATTTCTCACACGAAGGTTGAGACACCAGGTTTGGGATATCTTAAATTCTCTCCTACAAAACTGAATCAAAAGCAAAGTATGGTGGTATATATCTATAATGCCAGCACTCAAAAGGCTGAGGCAGGATGGTTTCAGTGAGTTCCGGGCAATTTTAGGCTCCATAGGGTGTTCAAATCCAGCTGATATACATATAGAAAGCTTGTCTCAATAAAACAAAACTAAACTAAACAATAAAACCAAACAAAACAGCTGAATAAAGACTGATTTCTTCAAATTTAAATCCATGTCTTGGTCATTAATTTTATGTATATACACATTTTTGAAGACAGCAAATTTGATGATAGATTGCAGCTCACTGCTACTGTAACAGTGAAATAGGAGCACTGATTCTTGTGCTGAGTCACTGCAATATTCCCTGTGTACTGTCTGTAATGCAGAGCTCACAGTGAGAAGCCTCAGGACCATCATCCACAAAGCACAGAGACAGATAAATATCCCATCAATCAACTGGGAAGCCAAGCAAGTACCTCCCTTCCCTGGTAAGTTCTGGCAATGTGGCAGACTGTGGCCCATCCAGGGGGCAAACCAGCAGCAGCTCCTGAGATTCATGCCATGCTGGAATTTAGGATATTTGGAAGGCAAGCAAGCATCACTTCTCCCAGGTAAGCTGTCGTGGTCTGGCAGAAGGTGGCCCTTCCAGGGGGAGAACCAGCACCAGCTCCTGAGATCCACACCATGTGGGAACTTAGGATGCTGTGAAATCAAACAACCAGCCTGTCTCCCTACTAAGCAATAGTGAACCTACTGATGCACGGCCTAGTATCAAACATCCCACTTCCCTACCCCTCTTCTCCTGTCACCCCCCGTTAGCAAATGGGGACCAGAAATTTGAGCGTCTCCTGGGAAGCAGACCATTCCAAATAAGGGGGACATCTTTCTACTATCTCTTTGAAGGCAAATATTTTTATTACTGTTTTGCTCTATTCTGATTGTTGGTATTGCTCTATTCAATATTCTGTTTTGATAAGTACTATAATGTTCTGTATTTCATCTCATTCTGATGTATGTGTTTGAAAGAACAACTATTATAAAGATAATAAAATATAATGTGATACCCATTACTGTTATCGCAATAACCTGTTGTGAAGTTGTGTACCAATTTCACTGTATGATCTTAGTTGGCCTTATTCTGCCTTGTTCTGTTTTATTTTACCATTTTCAAAATTTCAAAAAAGAAAAAAAAATCTCATCAATCACTTTGATAGGCTGCAGATAATGTCTCTTCAAATCTCATTTAGGCCAGTGAGTACTTTGTTCTTAATATACTTCAGCAGCATTTTGAAACATGAGTTTGGTTTCATAGAACAAAACATAAATAACCTCCAATATGGTACACAAATAATAACTCAAATGTTAGTGGAAAATGCTGTTTTTAAAAAATAATTATATAAAATGGAATAAGGCCCAAGCTGTAATTTATAGCTCACTCTCACCAAGTGATCACTTTCAATTCAGATATAAGGAATATATCTTGTGAGGCTGGTGAAGGACTTCTTCCTTGATTTTGGGGCTATCCTAATTTACAGAGCTGTCTAAAGTAGAGAAACCCTGACTGAGACACCCCACAGACAAAGTGAAACTTGAAAAGAGACTGCATATGACACCTTTGGTTTCTTTTTTAAAATTATAGCCATAAAATATGGAAAAATTCCAACAATATTCAACACTTTCTGGGAAACAATGTGGATATATTCCATACAACAAAGAAAACACTTTCATAATTGGGTATTTAGCTCTGGCATGAACACCTGCCTGGAAAGCATAGGTCATGAGTTCGATCCTTGGTACAAAAAAAATCCACATTTTACCTTCATGACACGGGGGCATAATTAGAGATAATCTAAATTAGATCTCAAGTATGGAACACAAAATTCATGGGTTGACAAGGATGTGAAATACTGATTGTTGCCAGAGCTGGTGTTGATCACCTCCAGGAAGCAATCAGAACCCAACTTTAACTTTACACTTACTCTAAGAACTACCTGAATTTCAGTGAAGACCCTCTCTGTTGTATGTCCTGCTATTGGCTTCCTGCATTCTGTCAGTCACTTGCACATTCTTTCCACACTTCTCTGATCCATTCTCAGCAGGAAAACCTTCATGCCTAACTATTGATATCACTACAAAATTTCTGTTTAGAGCTTCTGCTTTACACCACTTCGTAAATTCCATTGCAAAGCATTTCCATTTTTAAACTGTCTATGAACAACCAAGACACTAAATCACCTCTTAATTCAGAGATGACACCCCTATTCCTTTCCATTCAGAAGGATATCACGTGTATATGTGCATGCAAATGCCTGAATTTCAGCATTTTTCGATGAGAATTTAACAGGTAGCCCTTTCTGGAATTTGTCCTTCAAAAATTTTTACCCTGTCCTTGATAACACTTTCATATTTGCTTCATTTTTCTCAGACTTCAAAACTCTAGGGCTGTGCTCTAGTCAGTGAGCAAGTGTGCCACCTAAATAATTAAGTATGTTCAGAAATTATTTTTCACTGTTCTGTATAATACACAGGAATTCACTAGTGGTTTGGGAAGCCTTTTTCCACTAAGGCACACTACTACACATCTCTGAATTCTCAGGACCTTTGTGACTACCTGTCATGTGGATGGAAATATGAGAACATACTATAAATTGAGATCAAAAAGCTCAAGTTTAAGATGAGTCATTGTGGCTATGAGGCCCTGCATTACAGACATTAATAAAGTCTGGACATTCTAGATTTGCTACTCTGAGGAAAGAGAGTATAGACCTAGCTCATTACTGCTCTACAAGCTACAAATCATCATAGTCAGGGTCTTCCCAAGATTCTTCCAATGCCTAAGATGGTGCAGTTTCCAGGCCAGCAGTGAATTTCAAAGATGATACTTGAGTCTGCTGCTATAATAGTGAAGCCATGGTTCTGTAGACCCCAAACCAACCTTGCCAACAGCTAGAAGCAAAAGGGACAGTGAAAGACCCATGGGCAATGCTGGAGGACCTCAGGAGCTGAAGCTAACTAAATACCTGAGGCTCCAGACACAGGAATTTCTTCTACATACTTGTAACTGGTTTCACCCATTCCACCATATTTCTGGGCTCCCATCCACAACCTCACCATTCCATGGCTCCAGGATCTCTCAGGTTCTTTGCTAATCAGGCCACAGGACATCAAAAGTACTAAATGAGATGCAGCAAGCGTTTTGCTACCAGTATCATACTCAGAAAAGGTAAATCATGCTGAGAAACCAGAAGAGACAAAAGTCACAGCCAGCAATGGCCTGAAAATTGGACAGTTCATATAGCCTGCCCCTTAATCACTGATTGACTCCTGCTCTACAGCTCTCCTTCTGAGTCAAGAATAAACAGGTAAAGGAACCCCTCCCTGCAAGAGAGGATCCAAAATGATAGACTGTAGTGCAGAGACTTCTGGAGCTGCCGTTCTTCTACAGTGGTGATCTTGACCATAGGAGTGTTTGTACTGAAGCGCTTTACCTCAGGCTTTTAATTTTCAAATCTATTTTATTTCAGTGAAAAAAGAACACATCAACTAAAATTAAATTTCAAAACATGTCAATCAGGGGGCAACACTGGTATATACACTGCACACTGTAATCCCAGATCATTCACCCAGAGCACAAGACATCTGTAATCAATTATCCAAACAGTACTGTTACAGGCACCTGAGTTATTTAAATAGTATTGGCATAAGTCAGGGCTAGGTCCTCCAAGTAGTCCATGCAGGAGACGAAATACCGTGCAACTACGGGGAAGACTGATACCTCATGCTATGGGCCAAGTCTCAAGACAAATGATAAGCAAATTCATCCATATCCTAAAGACTGATATTCTAAATAGTCCCATAGCACTCTGAGGAGGTGAGGAGTCACCATTCAAAGAAAAGTATGCTTATCCTAAGAACTGACATTTTAAATATTTCCTATCATCCTGATGAACTCATGAGTCACCCTCCCAAAACCCTAAGGGAAAAGTCACTGCTGCCTAAGAATGCCTGCTTTCTATGTGACTCCCTTTCCCCTTTTTTCCCAATTTAATCAACTTTACCTGAACTTAATAATCCTATTGGGTACCATAGCTCTGTCCCAACTTATGCCCATCTGCATTGTGAGTTTCGATTTTTCCCCACCTTAAACTCATGTCACCACATGATTTTACTCTATAAAGGTCCCTAGAAGGACAGTGTTTGGCATCCCACTCAGGACCCCTTCTCTCTCTCAGGTAGCTTTCTTTCTCTCAATAAGTATATTGTGCTCTTAATTTCTGTTGTTCCTAAAATTCATTCTTTGACTTTAGAGAACACAAACTCATACCAAACCTATTAGACTGGGAGATTCATTACTCTATAGGAATATAATTATAAATTTTTCTCTTTCCTGAAGTCAGATAAATCAGTAGTAGTTTGTATTCTACAATGTTGATCTCACCTTTCCAGGGATGCTTGTACTGAAGGGCTTTATCCCTGACTTTAAGTGCTATTTTGTTTTCTGAAAGTGAAATGATCTGTAATTTGGTTTGGGTATGGTAACAATGCTTTAAGGAAATCACTAACAGTACTTCGTATGAAATAAAGCAAGTAAAATGTTCTTAATGAAAATAGGGAAATATATCATTAAATTGAAAAAAATGATTATCACAGTTTTTCCACCTAGCACCAGCCAACATTTTCAACTTTCAAGTATGTGGGAAAACAAAAAATATAAACAACTCAGAAAATAGCAATCCTATAAGGACAGTATATCATACACTGTAATTGTCATGTTATCTGCAGGTATTTCATAGACCACAAAAGAAACATTGAGCCTATTAAATACCAAGTATCCATTTCAATCAATGTGCTCACAGCACTGCATCGTTGACAACTGTGATTTTTTTTTTCTGTATGAGGGATTGAATTCATGACCTTGTGCTCTCCAGGCAGCTCCTTGTATACCTCAGCTCAATCCCCAGACCCAACAACTTTAGATACTAAATATGACTATTAACAATGTTTAATTTGCCATTGACATATTTAGTTATAAATTTTGTAAACCTACATTTTCACAAATGAAATTATTTTCTTTCCTTGCAGTTTAAATTACTTTTTTATTTTTTAGGTACCAGGAATCATAGCTACAACCTAGCATTTTCCAGGCAGGCGTTTCTGCCTGCTGAGCTAAATCCCTGGCCTGTATTAATGAATATTTCAGTTTATTCATTCAAATAGAACTGTGATTTTAGCAAAGGATGTCAAGGTAGACAGAAATTGATATACAATCAGAGAGGAACTGGAACCTCAAATAGTCAATGCAAAATACTAAATACAACAATCACTGCTACAGGCACAGCTGAAGAAAGCCAGACCTGAAGGTGAAGATGCAGTGACCAGGTCTACATGCTCCTGAAGAGAAAAACAACAGCTTAAAATGTACTACAGTTACCACCACCCCCTCCAGGAAGTCCTGATAGGCATCAATTACCATACTCAATGACCAGAACAACTGGACTATTGTTCCCACAAAATGCCTTGGCTCTTTTCACATACCTTTTCTGGCTGACTTGTCCCTTGTTGAGTAACATTAGTTAAGCAGCTATAAGCTTATAGGTTGATTGTAGTCTGAGACCCACACTGTATCCACATTGTGACTTTCCTGTATAAATGACCCCTGACAATAGGTCTATGGGCAAAACACTTAAGACCATTCCTGATAATTCAGGGCTATTCTTCCCTCTTTTTTTCTAAGAAAATTTTTGAAATTCTTTTGGTTTATGACTTCATTTCTCAGTGTTGTGAGTCATTAAACTTGATGCATTTGATATCAAACAGGGCAGGATTATATTTCTTTTATCTCAATTTAAATATGAAATGTCTGCTAAAGGCATTGTTCCAAAGCCAGAATTTCAAGCTGCTTGTTTGACCTGAGTTTAAAATTTCAATGAGCTTTTAGAAATCCTCAGTCTAATGAACTGCAAAATGTACTGGAGGAAGGAGGTCACTGTTGTCCTGTAGCACAATAGGTGCCATTCCTAAGTATGTGTTTGTCACTGCCTCCTGGATGCCACTACATGGCCTTCTTTCCTCTGCAGCATCATTCAATAATTCCCATCTTACATAAGTCAAATTTCACTCAGCTCTATTGTTTGTTTTCAATAGTCTTTCTGTCTAATTGGTTGGGTTTTTTTTTTTTTTTCATTTTAGTTTTTTGATTTAAAGACGTAGTCTCACTTTGGAGTTCTGGGCAGCCTTGCACTCACTGTGTAGGTTAGGCTGTCTTTGAATACATGGCCATTCTCCTGTTTCAGCTTCTTCATTGCTGGGGAAAAGACCTGGGCATTATAGCACATGGCATTTGTCTTTTTCTCTTCTCCTTTTCACAAGTATTCTTTCACTTCAGGGGCACTGTCATTTAATCCTGAGGTTTGCTTGTGTCAGTAAGGTTTCTGCAGCTCGATGTGATTTTGTGAACAATAATATAGGAAGCCAAGCAACCCAATTGAGAAATGTGGAATTTCATTAGCTGGGCTCAGCACCACTTGTATACAGAAACCCTAACCCCATTTCAGGATCTGAACAAGAGGCTCTGAACTGGAAAGTTACAGATGTTTTAAAGATAGAATCACAAAAAGATCCTGTTGGAAATCATTTAGCTAGAATCTTATAATAATTTTTGAATGACAGCTGTATTCTGCTTCTTTTGTTGAGCAGGATAATTTTTTTCTTTGGGTACAGCTCATTTTGCTTTTCTCCTGGGACTTATACCCTGAGTGATTTTCCATTTTTCTGAGTGAAATATAGGGCACTAGTTAAATGCAAAGCTCAAGATGGCATCTATTAAGCCAACCTACAACACAGCTAAGTTACAAGTCTCAATATTTTTTAGGGTAAAAACACATATATCTATAATCCCATACTCAAGACGCTGAGATAGGAGTGCTGCTTTGAGGTTAGGGCAATTCTGTGCTCCATAAAGGGTTCAAATCTAGGTCATATACATAGAGAAAACTTGTCTCAATAAAACAAAACTAAACTAAACAAATAAAACCAAACAAAACAGCTGAATGGAGACTGGTTTCTTCAAATCTTAATTCCACATCTTGGGGATTAATTTTTGTATATACACATTTTTTGAGACAGCAAATTTAATGCTATATTGCATCTCACAGCTAATATAAGAGCCAAAGAGGAGCACTGATTCTTATGCTGAGTCACTGCAAGAGTCCCTGTGCACTGTCTCTAAAGCAGAGCTCATAGTGAAAGCCTGCAGGACCAGCATCCATAAACACAGAGGCAGACAAATATCTCATCAATCACTTTGATGTACTAACAATGATATCTCTTCAAATATCATTTAGGCAACTGAGTCCTTTGTTCTTAATATACTTAAGCAGATTTTGATATTTAAATTTGGATTCATAGAACAAAACATAAATAACATCAATACGATACATAAATAATAACTCACATGTTCATGGAAAACTGCTGTATGTAAAAAATGTATAAACAATGAAACCAGGTACAAGTTTCAAATTATAGCTCAGTGTCACCAAGTGATCACCAAGTGATCACTCTCCATTCAGATATAAGAAATATATCTTGGGAGGCTGATGCAGGAGACCTTCCTAGAGTTTGGGGCTAGCCTAAGTTACAGAGCTGTCTGAAATATAGAAACCCTGACTGAGACACCTCAAAGACAACGTGAAACTTGAAAAGTGACTGCATATGACACCTTTGGTTTGCTTTAAAAATTATATCCATACAATATAGAAAAATTACATAATATTCAACATTTTCTGAGGAACAATCTTGATATCATACACAGTATACAGAAAACACTTTCAGAGCTGGGTATTTAACTCAGCAGCGTGAACACCTACCTAGCAAGCTTGAGATCATGAGTTCGATCCCTGTTAAAAAAAATTCAAATTTCACCTTCATGACCCTGGGTCATAATTAGAGATAATCAAAACTAGATCTCAAGTGAAGAACACCAAATTCATGGGTTGACAAGGATGTGGAATAGTGATTCTTACCAGAGCTGGTGTTATTCACCTCAAGGAAGAAATCATAAGTCAACTTTAACTTCATGTTTACCCTAAGAACTACCTGACTTTTAGGGAAGACACTCTCTGTTGTATGTCCTGCTATTGGCACACTGTGCCCTGCTAGTCACTTCAACATCCTTTCCAAGCTTGTCTGATCCACCCTAAGCAGAAAACCCTTCATGCCTTAACTACTGATATCCCTGCACAATTTCAATTTAGGGCATCTCTTTACATGAATTAGTAAAGTCCATTACAGAGCATTTCCATATTTAAACAATGTATATGATCAACCAAGCTATTAAATCACCTCTTAATTCAGATATGACACCCATATTCCTTTCCATTCAGAAGGATATCACGTGTATATATACATTTATGCAAATGACTAAATTTAGGCATTTTTCAAGGAGAATTTAACAGGCAGCCCTTTCTGGAATTTGTCCTTAGTAAACACATTTCCCTGCCCTTGATGACACATTTATATCTGCTTCATTTTTCTCAAAATTTAAACCTCTATGGATGTTCTCCCAAACATCATCTATGAGCACATGTGTCACATCAAGTATGTTCAGAAATTCTTTGCATTGTTCTGTATAATACACAGGAGTTCATCCGGTGTTTGAGGAGCCTTCCTCCACTGAGGCACATCACTACACATCTTTGAATTCTCAGAACCTTTGCCTCCACCTTTAATGAGCATGTAAATATGAGAACATAGTATAAATTTAGACGATCACAAAATACATAACTGCATAAGTTTAAGGAGAGCAGTTGTGGCTATGAGGTCCTGCATCACAGACATTTATAAACTTCTGGCTTTCAGATCTGTTGCTGACAGGAATAAGAGCAGAGACCTAGCTTATTACAGCTGCACCCAGCTTGAAACCCCTTCAGAATCAGGGTCTCCTCATGCCCTCTCCTGTGTCCAGACTGTTGGGGGAGCAATGGCAGCAGGCGATTTCAAAAATGACATTGTGGCCTGATGGTATCACAGTGGCGACAGCTTTCTAGGGACCCAGAAATATCCTGACCCCAGTAAGAGGTAAAAGGGACACAGGATGACTCCCTGCTAGCACTAGAGCACCTCAGGGTCTGAGGCTAAGAACACAGGCTCTAGACAGCACAGCTGTTTCTCACCACTGTTTTTTGGTTTTTGTTTTTTTGGTTTTTGGTTTTTTTTTTTTTTTTTTTTTTTGGTCTTTTTCCTTTTTATCGGTACCGGGGATCAAACTCATGACTGCCTGCTTTCAAGGCAGGCGCTTATGTCGCTGAGCTAAACCCCCAATCCCTTCTCACCACTTCTAACTGGTCTCAACCGGATTCCACCCCATTTCACTGCTCCCATCCCATAACATCACCATTGCGTTGTTTGGAGGTCTCCCAGGTTATTTCTAAGCAGTCCACGGAGAACAGAAGCAAAAAACAGTTGTCGAGCAAACATCCAGCACTCCCTTTTTTGCCCTGGCCTTGCAATTGACGCCATGACACCGGAAGAGACCACCTACCTTGGACTGCCTGATTGGACAAATCTTACAGCTGGCCTCTTCATCACTGATTGGCTCCTGCTCTCCTGTCTACCTTCACCACCAAGAATAAAAAAAAAAAAACCACCCTGTAACTGTGGATCCCCAATGAAAGATGGAGGCTTCTGGAGCTGGCTGTCTTCTGGAATGTTGACCTCAGCTTGTCTGATGGGTATTTCCACTGAAAGGCTTTACCTCAGTGCTTGTTTTTTCTCCCAAACCCATTTTATTTGAAAGTTAAAAAGTAAAAAAAAAAGTGGTCTGCCAGGTGCCGTGGCCAGCGCGGGGAAGGAGTCAGGCAAGAGACTGAAGACACAGGGAGACCAGTTGCTCAGGAGGCAAAAGGCAATTTATTGAAGGACTACAGAGTTTTTATAATGTTTCAAAACAAAGAGCAGTACAGGTCACTTCAGGACACTTTCTTGTGCACACAGCAAAGGTAGACATGCTCCTGGGCCCGTGAGAAACTTCTATGTTGTGCAGCCCAGGAGGTAAACATGTTCTTGGGCCCATGAGAAACTTCTATTGTTTATGTTATGAAGCTTTTCCCAGGTTAATATCAGCGCGATGCTTTGTCTAGAAGGCTGAGGTTACTGCAGGATGAGGAACTGGTTGAGGTCCAGCTTCAGTGTGTGGTTTCCCACTCCCGTTCACTGCGGGACCCCTGGCTCCAGCTCCCAACATATCCCCCTTATTTCTTAGACAAAGCGTCGCATGGGAATTTCATTAGCAGTTGATTCTAACTTAAAACGTTTCAAGTCCAAACGCACGTTTCTCATTTGCCCAACAACAGTTCTCACAAAATATGGAAAAATTGTTATCATGACAATAAATGCTAGAGCTCCAATACTAGCTAGAATGATAAAATGCGAAATGCCCGTGAGGCTTGGAAAATGGCTGGTTAATGCGTTGAATATTTGCTGTTTCTTTTGCGATGTCATCTTTTATTGCTGGTGCATTGGTTATATCTTGGATAGTCTTATGCAGCTTAAGCAAATCTAGAGAAGTATTGGAATTATGCCATATTCCTAGCAAATGATTTTGCACCCTATCCCAAGGTACATCACTTCCATTATATCTATGTGAAGTAACACAAATATGTTCGTATAAGGCATGACATTTCAAAGATGATTGTACTTGCAGAGCACATAATTGATCTCCTAAGGTTATTACTGTATCTTGTAGAGCATTTAATTTTTGTTCAATCAGACAATCCCAACTTTCCTGTATTTTCAAAACCAAAGAAACATTATGGGATAACTCATTAACATAGGATGCAGTTTGCACACTTTCTGTAAGAGATATTGCGGACATTGCAGTGGAGGCTACCAAAGTAATAAGTGCAGCAATTCCAGTCATTAACATCCCAACAAATCATTTGGCTGGATCTAAAAGCTTAGTTAATTTTTGCAAAATAATCACAGAAGGATCTTGATACCACTCTGTGGTGATATTAACAGGTAAAAATACAAATGGAGGTTGTTTGACCAGTAATATGGATGAGTGGTTTCGTGAAGCATTAACAAAATTGGATAAGATGCAATCTTTACAAGTAATTTCATAAGATTCATGGTTCTTATTTACAGTAAGTTCTCCACTTATAACACCATATGGTTCAGAAATACAAGCTATGATAGTTACATTTTTTACTGTGCCATTAACAGAAATGGCATCCTGTGTCCCTATATCTTGCCATACAACTTTTTCCTTTGCAACAGCAATGTAATCAAGTGCTGCAACCAACTTCCACAGCATGGTAAAAAAGGTGATGTTATTCCTTGTCCATATTCCATATAATAAATTTCGGGGCCTGTAGGTTGTTTCTCTGTAATCACTCCAATCACATAGATCTTTGTAACACATAGTATAATTATGATGGCACAAACGCCATGAGGGTCCATATACGCTTTTGCTTGGATATTTTTGTCTACATTCTGGAATATGCTCAGGGGGATTACCTTTTCCCACTCTAGTTTCACTACTGTTGTGAAATACATACATCATATCTATTCCCCAGTGCATTCCATTAGTAAAGTTTCCATCCCAATCAGAATATCTTTCTATTAATGTACAATTCTTATTTGTTTTAGAAAAACATAGGGGTAATGAAGCAGACATTTCAGTGTAATTATATACAATAGAGATAGGTTGTATGTGAGTGGAAGAAGGAAAACTTAAGACACGAGTATTATTTACATAAACAGTAACATCAGCGTTGTCGCCCCATGACATAGGGTGCAACAATGGAGGATTGGGTACAAATGCCCAATAATTATCCGCCCACACAGGCATATAAAATCTATGCAAAACCCAAATAATGCTTAACAGTTGAGCCAAAAGCAGAAGAGTTTCATCTCTTGTCACAGGGGGCCTTCTGGTCATTGTTCTCGTCCTCGAGGTCATGGTTAGTCGAAGCATCTTCCTGCGCAATTTTTCTATCTTGCCCAAGAGGGCATGTCATACACAGCATTCTGGGATCCACCTGGGTGTATCAGCATCTGTGGGAAAAACACAAACATACCCTCTTCCCCATATCAATACTGGGTTAGGGCCATGTAATAGATTAGTTAATGGGTCTTTCCAATAAACCATTGGCTTGGAGGGCAAATCAGGAGACTAGTGTCTCTCAGCTGCAGATATATTGGAAGCATCAAAAGTTAAAAAATTAAGAATGTAAAGAGCATGGTTAAGAAGGGTTTTGGGAGAATACTTATACCATCTCCCCCTTTTTAATTTCTTTAATGTGTTTTTTAGTGAGAGATTAGCACGTTCAACAGTTCCTTGTCCTTGAGGATTATAAGGCAGTCCAGTAACATGTTTAATATGGAAAGTCTGACAGAATTTGGCAAAGGGTTTACTAACATATGCTGCGCCATTATCAGTTTTAATGGATCGAGGAATGCCCAGGATAGAGAAACAATATAGTAGGTGTTGTATTACATGGGTGGCAGTTTCTCCAGTCATAGGTGAAACAAGCATGTAATGAGAAAAGGTGTCTATGGTAATGTGTAGGTATTTTAATGACCCAAAAAAAAGGATAATGAGTGATATCCATCTGCCAGATGTCATTTGGATGGAGTCCTCGAGGGTTGACTCCAAAATGCGGTACTGGAAGGAGAGGCTCACATGAGGGACAGGTTTTAACAATTTCTCGTGCCTGCTGCTGTTTTATACCATATTGATAACGTAAAACCTGTGCAGCTTGGTGATGAAGAGCATGTGACTGTTGTGCTTGCGAAACAGCAGACAGTCCAATGTGCGTGGGTCGATCTGCAATTGCATTTCCATGAGCTGAAGTACTCCTCAATTGCCATACATAAGTTTGATTTGGGGATACTAAAGTAGCTTTTCCATTGGAGCTTCCATCTGAAAATAAAGTAATAGCATTAACAAGGGAGTTCATGCATATGATTTGAGGAAATGAAAAGGTAACTTTGGAGGCAAATTGAAGAATTTTATCCTTGGGATAATGATGTTGGATTTGACTGGTATAGGATGCTAGAGAAAGAGGAAAATAATCAGTCATAGTAAGCAACCATTCGAGCTGTTCAGATGTATAAGGGATTATAATAGAGTGAGGGTCTCTTCCTAAATGCATTATAGACAGTTTTCTTCCTTGTATAATCCTTTCTGCAACCAAAGAGGCATAAGTGGGGAGAGCCCTTTTCGGGGAATGCGAACCATGAATCCATGAGAGAACTCCCTGCTGATATAACACACCTGTAGGGGAAAAAGACGTGGGTATGATGATAAGAGACCAGGGAGTGGAATAATCACAATAATGAAGCTGCACACTTTGAAGAGCCTTATTAACCAGTTCAAGAGTTTTGCGAGCTTCTGCCGTCATTTGCCGGGGTGAACTTGGGTCAGAATCTCCAGCTAATAAGGAAAACAATGGGTGGAGGTCTTGAGTAGTTAACTTTGGAGACGGCCGAATCCAATTAATTTCGCCTAAGAGTTTTTGAAAATCAAGTAATGTACGCAAGTGAGAAGTATTAACAGACAATCGTTGAGGAGAAAAATGCCATGGATATAAGTGAAAACCTAGATAAGAAAAAAAGGAGGTGAAGTTTGGACCTTCTCAGGTGCAATGACCAGCCCATTATTTGTTAAATCCTGATGAAGAGAGACATATACTTGCAAAAGCATCTCAGAATCTTGATGAGCTATTAAAATATCATCCATATAATGAATAATGGTGGCAGGGGCAAATTTAGATCTGGTATTGGCAATGGCTGCATGTACAAACTTTTGACACAAGGTGGGGCGATTAGCCATTTCTTGAGGTAACACGACCCACTCATATCTTTCCATAGGTGAGGACAAATTACAGGAAGGAATACTAAAACAAAACCTCTTACAATCTTCGGGGTGGAGAGGGATAGTATAAAAACAATCTTTCAAATAAAGAACAATACGATGATGTGCCAGAGGTATTGTCATACGTGATGGAAGCCCAGGCTGAAGAGCTCCCATAGGAAACATAGTATCATTAACTTTTCTAAGGTCTTGTAATAACCTCCATTTTCCTGATTTCTTTTTTATTACAAATATAGGCAAATTCCCGGTGGAGGAGGAAGGTCAGATATGACCACAGACTAACTGTTCTTGCATTAATTGCCTGGCGGCTTGGAGTTTAGCCTCAGGCATGGGCCACTGATCTACCCATACCGGTGTATAGGTTTCCAATTAATTTTATCAGCATGGATAGCAGGACGATCAGTGACCACTAGGAAAAACCCAAGCCCTGTTTATCAACCTTTTGTGGGATGGATAAAGGGTCTTTGATACCTTGATTATTTTTTCCATGCCTGCAAATGGCAATTGACCCATTTGCAACATCTGTTTGGTTACAATGGGACTTGGACTCCACAAGTACACTCCCATTTGGCTTAGTATGTCTCATCCCCACAAATTTACAGGAAGATTAGGTAAAACATATGGTTGGAATTCTCCAGTATGTCCCTCTAAATCAGCCCAAGATAATATAGAAGAGTATTTAAAAGGAGCAGAGGCTTGACCAATTCCCTGGAGAATGGTAGGGGCAGGATCCAAGGGTCAGGATGAAGGCCAATCTT